AAGTGTTGTTGTTACTATGGAACACTGATAGTCAGTTTGTGTTCTAATTATCTGCTTATTAGTAACAAGAGTATATGAAGTAAAACTGTGATTCCTGTGAACAGTAACTCGTGAATTTGAATTCGAGTAGATGTAGAGCAAGAGGGTATATATATATATATGTATAGTTGATATATTTCTTGAAAATGGGGAATAAAACAGTGCAATGCAAAAATGTCAAACAACAGTAGAGACAGAAAATTTGCTAGTGCCTGCTGTGAAAATAAAGAAAAATAAATAAATAAGATGAAACTGAATAATTCATTGCTACGTAAAAGGAAGACCATGGATAGATTCACTCAAAAAATAGCGAATTACAAAACTTGAACGACTCAAAAGAAATAATACAGAATTTGTTGTTATAAAAAAAAAAATGTTTCACGGAAGTGAGTTTCCGTATAAAAAATGAAGAAGACGTATTAACTGCTAATTCAGGTTCATAGTCGAAAATAAATAACATAAAAAATGTGATTACCTAATAGGAAAAGAACCTGTTCCAATTAAAAAATTCTAATTTTCACTACATTGATAGAAGAAGTATGTGAGTTGTAATTGTTATAAAATGATTTTAAAATGTTGAAGTTTTCAACATATGATGGTTAATCTAATTAACAATTAAAACGCAGTGTACTGTGTTTGCTGCAAGCTGTTCTCAATTTTCACTGTATTCTTCTGTATAGGAAGCTTTTCTGATTGGTGGCATTGAAGTTCTAAATTAAAAGAGCTTGAACATTCAGAGCTTCTCTACGAAACTATGCAAACACAGCGTAATCTGAAAAATCTGTTTACGAACAGCATGCACCATGATAAGTAAAGAAAATGAGTCATTAATACAAACAGAGAAACAGTGGTGAAGAACTGTCCTCAGTAATACAAACAGAGAAACTGTGGTGAAGAACTGTCCTCAGTAATACAAACAGAGAAGCAGTGGTGAAGAACTGTCCTCAGTAATACAAACAGAGAAATAGTGGTGAAGAACTGTCCTCACTAATACGATGAGAGAAAAGAGCGATGAAGAACTGTCCTTGAACGTGTTAATGTAATAATCCAGCGCCTAGCTGAATGCAGTCTCGTTTTCGGAGAACCAGTCAAACATTCTATAGTCCAAACAATGGCAATCTTTTAGCTGACATTGAATCGATCCAGTAATGTAGAAGCATTAATAATAGTAAAATCAAGAATTGTATGATAATTATTTAGCACAAATCATGCAAGGTGAACCAATACTATGTATGTCTCAAAAGGTAAAAAAAGTAAGTGCCAAGTAATTCAAATAATATTCTATGCTTTAGGAGTGAATGGTATCGGAAAAAATTATTTTACATTCTGTAGTGTATCGACGCTGAAGTTGTTGAGTATTTTATAAATTTTATTCCGTAGAGGATACCACCAGCTAGTGATTGGTAGGAACTCTGTAAATTCAACTGGATTCTCTCGAATTCAGTATTAAGGACTGTCGGGGTCAGGGTTTTGACCAGGAGGCCAACATGAAAGAGCAATAGAGGAGTGCAAGAATGGATATTGAGAAAAAAACTCAGAGAATTTCATATTTCATGTGACCGCCACAACTTGAATCTAGTTCTTGGGAATATTACTAATTCATCTACAAGAACAGTCGATGTTTTTGTGAATTTTAGAAATAACATTTACAGTTTCTTCAACCTCTTCAGCCAAGTGGAAAGTTTCCCAATAAAACACATTTCTTCTGTCATCCAACTCACTCTCGGATACAAGATATCGACTAGACAGTGTGAAAAGGGTTCAGTATCAAGTTTCTGGTGAACGAAATGCACTGAACCAAATACTTGAGATAACAAATGGTTCATAGATTATGAGCGAGGCAGCTTCACTAGCAAGTCATGATTTCTTATAAAGTTTTGCTCACTTTAGTTATTTGGTATGACCTTTTAGTACAAGTAAAAAGAATAAGTAAATTGGTATATGAATCTAAATTACATTTAGATATAGCTACAAAACATACTGAATATTCGGCCTTAGTCCTAAGTCATTATGAGAGTGGATTTAGGTCGACCTTAATATCAGCCAAAGACCTGGTCGAAGAAATGAATATAGAAAGTAATAAACCAATCGCTTGCATAAAAAACAACAAAACTATTCATAGCGAGAAACAGATGATGCAGTAGTAGATCCGAGCGAATGTTTTACAGTTGAAATTTAATTACTTATAATTGAAAATTCCTAGACAAACAATTTAAACTTTACCAATTTGACTTTGAAAACTTTGGGTTTCTTTACGATATTAGACAGTTGAAGAATGAGCTTAAACATTGTCAAAATGTTCAATTTGTGATATATACGCTTATGGAGTTATGCGAAGAGTTTTGGATTTTGTTTTTCTTTATTCCAGAATCACGAACTACTCTTGAAGTTCTCGAATTTATTCGAAACACACAGTAGAATCTGTACCCAAATGTTTATGATCCTTTAAGGACTATTGACCATGACCGTGACTGTCGCGTCTAGTGAAGGAAGCGTTTTAAAAATTAATCACGAGCTATTTAAGATCTACTACGAGGCAAGAGTATTGTATTGAGCTTGCGGTTGTTTTTATGAGATATATAGAGAATTCTAGAATATTAAGAAATTATTAAAAACTTTGCGTCTAAAAAAAAGTTCAAAAGCAACATTCTAATGAACCAATGAAATAATTATCGGCAGGATCAAAAATACAAGTTAATTTAAATTAAGGGAAATAGCAATTTTGTTTATCATTGTATAATTACAGTTGAGTTTACGTTAATTATTACTGTTAATATCTTATATCTGTGCATTAAAAATTATTAATTATAGATAATTAATTTGAGGCCTTACGTTTCACTTTTGCCAAGGACTTTGCAAAAGCTAGCGTTGGTGTAGAATGTTAGAAACACTAATCTATTCATTATGTTCGAAACACTATAGTCAAGTTAGAAATAACACCCCTGCGAAATATCAAAACACTGACCTGTTAAAAGCATAGCAATGCTTATTTTTCAATATATTTTATCTATTGGAAATATAAGTTATGTCTAGAGATTTGATTATGAATTATTCTTTGTCAGACAAAGAACTACTTTTATCCCAACACCACATAGTGAACATTGTTACGACAGATTTTTTAAACTTGTTGATATATAAAATATGTGATAAAAATGTTGACTAGAAGAAAGTGTTGATTATTCGCCACAAACAAACTTTCTTTTGTAACAAATACAGATCGCTAATAAGAAGGGCCCAGTGGTTAGGGTAACGGACTGTGGATCTGAGGTTTCGTGGTTTGCGCTCTGTTGCTGCTGCAATATATATATATCGTACTTTGAGTCTGCGGGTGCGTTATACGAATGACTACCTAATTAGAAACGGCTAGTACATCTAACTCTCGAATAGCATTGCGCGCAAGTCAAATAAACAAAGTCGCGTGAAATACATCACACCATAAACGTACACATCATCTCGTATCAATCGAAGAACATTCTAGCCGAGGAACAGTATTTCTTCAAGTTCTAGTTTATTGTTATAAAAAACAGTCCAATTAACAGTGTATGTAACGATATTTTGTCAATACATATATATATCAGTGGTGTAGGAAGGAGTTGCAAAGTGGTTCTTGGCTAAACATGCACATTTTACAATGAGAGATTGAAACTATAAGTGAGGTACTGCACCCCCAGAAACTCAATATAATAATATAATTTACAATTGCTATAGAAGTCAAAAATGTAAAAGTTGGGGTGCTACAGCACTCCCACTTAAGACCTCTCTGTATGTTCTGAAATTCAATACATAACGAAAGAACTTACTGATTTTTGACAGTATCTCCACTTATTTGACGACGTGTAAGAAAACACAGAGACAAAAAACACAACAGAATAAACATTTGTTATGTGTTATATTGTTTCTTCTTTCTTTCTGCTTCTTCCAAACACATTTTAATCGACCACCATTCCTTCATTTCTTGGCGGATTGACTTGAAACTTGGTAGGGTTATACTTTGGTCAAATACATCTGGACAGTATGGTCAAAGGTCAAACAACTCAAAAATATATATTTTGGGCTCTTTTTTGCGATCATATTTACGGTAATCAAGATGAAACTTGGCACAAATATAAATTTTCATGCGTCCAACACATTGACATACAAAGTTGGATTTGCCCATTTCGGGGCCAGAGCTCACAAAAAAGCATAATTTTGGGATTTTTTTGGTCAATAACTCAGCCATATTTTGACCAATTTACATAGGATTTGGTACAAAGATACTTTTTATAGGTCCCGAAACTTAGGGATAGACACTTTTAGAATTTTTTTCTTTTGCTAAATTTTTCAGCGAGGAAAGCACAATTTGGGGTGTTCATGAACTTATTCATGTGTATGTCAACCAATATACATGGGATTTGGTACAAATATACCTTCTTGCAGGTTTCCAAGCAGTTTGCGATCTTTCTGCTGTCAAAATTGGTCATGTTGGGATTACGTGGTGGAGACATGTTGCATTTGCCCACGAATATTAGTCTCTTTAATTACAAAATTAAGAACCCCCGAATTTACTTGATAGAAACAATGAGAAAACCAACAATATAGTATTGAACATAGTGTTTTCAAATTTGCAGAGGTAGTATCCCGTGTGATTAACACCAACCATTTTCAGAGGTGTACATTAAAATTAGTCACCAGACTTTCTAACGAGTAAAAGACAGATAATGAAGTGAAAATGAGGTCCATTGAACTTGACTTCGGTTTTGGTGTTATTCTTTCAATATTTGTTTTGTTTGTCATAATTTTCTCACATTGTAGCTGTACTTGTTTGTTACTCGTGCTACTTGTTTGTGCTAAATCATGATAAGTTGCCATTAGTTCTAGGATACTGTCCTAGCTTTATACGTTCTTAGCAGTTGTGTGCATAGCTTTATTTTATGCAGGTTTCTTTTTTTAAACTACAATCCCACCTTTTCTTTCCTAGGTGGAGGATATAGGCGAAGCTGTTGAGAAGATTGAGGCCAATGTTAGTGAAGTCAAGAAAAAACACAGCGCCATCCTCTCGGCTCCACAGACAGACGAAAGTAGGTGGTTAGGTTCTAGAAAAATTACTACATTGTGACGCACTCGTGTCGTCCTGAAATATATATATAGGATTACATCTCCCATCTATTCTATTTCCCTCTTCACTGTACGTGTTTCATCGAACCGAAATCTCAAAATTACGCAGTAAAGTATCTATACCTATCGAAGTTCATTTCCTTAGTCCTTTCTAACCACTGTGTACATGTTTCCCAAATAACTTCAGTGTGATTAATCGAACTTGTAAAAGAAACACAGATTAATTAATCATATAAAAATACCGTTTGCTGGATAGGGCAGACTTTTGTTTCTTCGCATTCCCGTTGTCCAAGATGTTCAGGCTTTGTTCTTCTTTTTAGAAATTCAGGAAGAACGATCACGAAATCCTCTCCTGTCAAGCAGTAACAGATCAGAGAGATTACCGTATTCTTCTCTTATTTTCTTGTTGTTGTGTTGTTCTGATGCATTTTATTCCTGTGATACAGTGCTATCATCCTTATATGTGAGGCAGTTATTTATATATTGTTGGTTTGACACTTTTCTATCTTGCTCATTTTAACAACTATTTTAGTAATAATACATATTATTAGCATTTTTCAAACAAGGGGCTTGTTGTAGTCTTTGTTTCATTTATTTCCTGCAGTAAATCTGTGACGAAAATTAATTCAGATCGATGCATATATATATATATATATATAATTTTGAGAAGTAATAAATACATAACAACAGGACAGTGTCATTCAGTACCTCTGTATATAAAAAAAGTATATATTCTCACCCATCGCACGTGATGCCACGCGGATATAGTTCAAGCTTTAGGGGGCCGTATTACACAGCGGTTAACACAGAAGGCTTGGTTTAAAATAACAATAGACCTGCTTATTCTACATTTCATCCGATCGACCTCCACTCAGATCTTGAGAGTTGTCTTGTTCAGATATTTGACGCTCTTAATCTTGTTATTTAGACAAAAAACAACTTTTAAACAAAATTGCACTTTCCAGCAAGAATGACACAGTGCCATCAAGCCGACCTTTTGAATTACTATGAATCTGTTTAATTTTCGTAGCGGTAAAACTTCCCGGAAAGAGTTGTTTTAATTTGAATAAAGAAAAAATACCTTTCAAAGTATTTAATCATGGCGATGACCTATATTTGAAAATCAATAGCTAAAATATTAAGTCACGAAACAAAATATATTTATTTTACATGCGCCCGATGTTTAAATTATTTTGTTAGGATATTTAAAAACAACCGGACTTAAAAGTTTCGGATTCTTGCTTTTCTCTTTTGTTTGTTTGTTTTAGCACTGAGCTATGACAGGCTATCTGCACTTTGCCTACAACGGGGAATCAAACGCCGGATTTTAGTGTTGTAGGTCCGTAAACTTACCGCTGACCCACTAGAATGTTGAGCTTGAGATTAGTTATCAGTTTTGCTGTTTTTTCAGACAGAGGTAAAATATTCTGAAACTGGAATCTTAATATATAACCAAAACACACACAAGTATCCACTTGTGGATACAAATATAATATCACTACAATACTTGAACTCTTCTGTTTTGTTCTTCTTTATTAATTTCTACCTGTTTCTTGACTTGAAAGGGTATAATTGTACAGAGAATCTATAATAACTAGATGAAATACCACTTTTCAACAAAAACTTAAATACCCTAAATTAAATACATATTTTTTTAAATTGTACAAATGTAAAGTATAATCCTTATCTAAATTAAAAAAATATCATTGGTTTAAACTTATCAGATAACTTATCCACTTCTTTTCTATTTCTTTATTATTTTTCTTTCAATTAAAATCTTACCTTAATTATACTTTATCCTGTTATTATAGAAAAGCAGTTTATTTGCATAATATTTAACAAATTAATAAAAAACATTATCTCTTACTTACTTTATTGTCCTTTCAGTGATTCCTGGTGATAGATTTTACCGCTTGCACAATTCCAACTAACTTTACTCAGCTACTATTACTTCTGTCCTGTTACGTGGCGCCAAAAGCATTTATGAAATAGTTTTCGAAACTAATTCAATGTGTTTCATGTTACATGCCCCAAAAGGGAACACGTGAAAATATTATTATTTTAGTATTTTAAATTTGCTCAAAATACATCCATTAAAATATTTGCTGACGTATATTAAACTTTGTTTCGGGAAATCCAACATGTAAATCTATCCTTAATCTTAAATTTCCTGTTTCACCAATATATAGAATTCACCATAATTTACACATTATAAAATATATATATATTACAGTTGTAAAATTACAATCAAGAAAATTATTAATGAAAAACAAAGCATATTTATTAATTGTTTATTGTTTTGTAGTTCTAAGATAACTTAAATTATGCATGGGTGGCATGGCCTAGTGGTTAGGGCGTTTGAATAACAACCTGCAGGTCGCGGGTTCGAATCATCAGCACGAAACATGTTCACCCTTTCAGCTGAGGAGCATTATAATGTTACGACCAATCTCACTGTTCGTTGGTAAAGAGTTGGTGGTCTTCCAGTGCTAAATTAGAGCCGGCTATCGCAAATAGTATTCGGATAGCCTTGCACGACATTAATTAAAACAAACAAAATACTTTAATCGATTTCTGTTTCTTTAAAATCAAATCACCTTTCCCTTGTTTTTCGGTAACAGCATAGTAAAATCTTTTGATAACTGTAGTTCAAGATTAACCCCTTTTACAGGGTCAAAATCTCATTCTACTTTTACGAGGGATTCATCTTTATTTTAAATATCATAAAATGTTCTTTAAGTCTTAATTCCTTTGTAAATTCATAAATATCCTCTGCCCATTGTACGTTATTAGGCTTACATATGGGAGTAAATATTAACCTTTTTGTTAATAATCGTATTTCATTTTCTTCCAAATTACTTTCTGTTAAACTAACAATTTTCAAAAAATACTAACTCTGGTCATCTATTATATTTTTTCCAAGTCATATATCTTCCATAAGCATATCTTTTTTTTTTTCTTTCATGCCTTATATATTTTATCCTATTAAGTTTCTCTATGTAAATCTTTTATTTTTCTGTCCGTGTTTCTTGTACATATTTCCTGTAATAGCACCTCTTAGATCCCATTTAATGTCGTTATTTTATCTGTCATTTCTTCGTTATTTTTATGAATTGTAGTATGAATTACTTTTTTATTTCCTATTTCAAACTTCTCGATAATCTTTGACTCCATTTATAATAATTTTCCTTTCCATTTTTACTCCAGTCTGTGGATTTTCTCTATCTTTCTTTAATTGTTCTAACACTTCTTTTCCAATTCTTCTGTCTTTCATTCTATGTTAAGTCATTCCAATATTATATTAATGCTTCAAATATTTCTTTAAACTTTATCTTTACGTTTCAAAGAAATAAGAGTTATTTGGCCTGTTTAGATGTATTGGTAAGTATTTAACAAGAAAAAGAGATCGTAACTGATATTTTTTACAAACCGTCAAACTCACATCCCTATGCATATCTTTAGTTATCATCCCAAACATATAAAATTAACTCTTGCATGTAGACTGTCGTTTAGTTTACAAAGCGTAGACGACAGTTGAGAGATTTATTTGAGCTAAAATAGTTTTTAGTTCATGTTACTTTCCGGCAAATGTTATATTACGAAGTTTCAAAATTGATAAAAATAACTTTTTAATAAAACATTTAGATAAAGAGAATAGTAAACCTGAAGACAAGATTATACTTTATGTAGTGACTGACTGTCCAAATGTACATCCCCCCAGTGGCACAGCGGTATATCTGCTGACTTGCAACGCTAGAAACCGGGTTTCGATACCCGTGGTGGGCAGAGTATAGATAGCCCATTGTGTAGTTTTGTGCTTAATTCCAAACAAACCAAACAAATATACACATTAGTATTTCATTTTTTAATACATAATTAAAATAAATAGTGGATAGAAAACTGAATGATGTGTTTCAAAGATAATAAAATTATTTTTCAAGAAGACAACTTAAAAATTCATATACGTTTTTGAATAAGACCAAGAAAAGAGAGTTTTTTCTAAAGAAGGTATTTTTAGTTATGAAAGAAAGAATTATGATTTATGTAATTTAAGTTATATTAAAACTATAAAACAACAAAGAAAAATAATAAAGATATTTTGTTTCTCCTTGATAATTTAGTTAATTAAAGTTCTATAAATGTAATGTTACGTATCTGCTTGTTTGTTTGTTTCCAGTAAAACTTCTTTCCAAGGATCTTCAGCGATACAAGTCCTTTTTTGATTAAACCAGTTTATTCTTCCTCAATACAAACTTTTAGTACACAGTAATTCCACAATCAGTATATTTCTCGTCACTTTAAACTTAACAACTTTTATAATACACTCTATAAATCACAGCGATTCACAATTTCGATAACTTCGCTCTCGACGAGTGCGAAACACGCACACTTTACGGCTCACTAGCTCGAAACTAACAGAATCATAAATTACACGGAACTCAAGTAACTACTGCTCTCTCTTCATTAACCCTGCTGGTAGTAGTATTGTAGTATATTTCTGGCAGTTATTTTGATTTAAACTTAATTATTTCACGGGAAATAATTAATAATCAGGGGTGCTCGAAGATTAGCAATCCTCCTCCACCCTGCTCGAGGCTAGAGGTTAAAGTTCAATGAGTGGTCAGCGTTTTAATAAACCATATAGGCGAAGAATTAGGAAAATAAATAAATGAAAAATTAATAATAATAATAATAAATAAATAAGTAAAAAGAACGGAAGAAAAAGTGGGCGGAAGTGAAAGCAAGTTCAAAGCATAGCAGAGGCAGGTTGATCTTGTAGAAGGAGCAAGTCGGCAGCCGTTGTTGACAAGTTATCTAAACAAACTGAAGCAAACGGGCCTTTACAGGGACTGGCGGGGATCAGTGGATCCAAGTGCCATGGCTGGAATCTGTAGGTCCAATGGCTAAGAATTTGGTATGGGGGGAACGGGAGTACCCCGAGAAAACCCACTTTCACTAGTCG